CTTTTCTCTAAGAATAAAGTTTAAATAAGCCTTTTTTTCTCGTCGAATTGCTCCAGTAGTAAAATTCCTTAGGTCGGTATAGCTAGTCCAATTTACTGCAGTCTTATTTTTTTTATATTTTTTTAAAGCTTTGTCTCTTAACGAAATCATTACTTTTATATTATAAGTAATCCAAGGGGTATGCGGTTTCGTAACTTTTTTTCTTACTAAAGGAGCATGTACAGAGAAAAGCTGGATTAAGGAATTATTCAGATGGGAAATCATATGTTCAACGTAATTTAATTCGTAAATTATGTCCCAATTTATGGAACCTAATTCAGCATTAAAAAGATTAATATCAAATCGTGAAAAGTCACGATAGGTTATATACTTAGCTTTCTTTTCTAAAGTGATTGACTCTATGTTGCAAAGAACAGCTTGATGATATGACAAGCCACGGCCTCTGACATCTAATACCTCAACACATGTTGTTTGATGGACATCTGACACAAATATAATGTCGATGAGAGTTTTGCTGTGCGGGGTTATATGAGTTGGTTCATTAACAATTTGTGTTAGTCCATAGGAATTTAAAAAATTTATACATAGATCACAACCTCTACTAGGCGTCATAAAATCTATATTAATATCTCCTGAGACAATGAAAAAGTCACAAGATGGTAACAAGTTGGCGACGCTATCCTCCAATTCATCAAGGCAGTTGATAACAGAAGAATTAGGGGGGCGATATATAACTCCAAAAATATATGTTTTTCCGCGAAACTTGGTAGAAATCCAAAGTTGCTCAAGGTTAGGAGTAATTCGCGAAAAAATTAAATTATATTTGATACTCGAATTAATATAGAAAGCAACACCTCCGCCTCTCCCATCCCTATCAGCTCTAACAACTTGGTAAGAATCAATAAAAATAATAGTAGAATCAATTTGAGGGTTTAACCAAGTCTCACTAACGCCAAATATGTCTATGTTTTTGTTCAATAAGTAGTCAGTAACTTGATCAAATACAGAGAAAATAGATCCTACGTTGAGGTGTGAAAGTTCTCAATGTGCTCGTATTTTTATGATTTTTTCATGTCTTATGTGTTAAACAATTATCGGCTTCTTAGAAATAAAATTAAGTCCTTCAGTCATGATTAAGGCTTCTGCGCAACTTTTTAGCGCATACAAACATCACGTGATCCCACCTCTCAGACGCCTTGCTCCACAGAACAGCTGAAATCTCAGTTATATGACAATATTGAAGTACTTACACGTGAATCTGGTTAAGTTGTCATGGATTAATATTTTGTTTCAATTACTGTATGTCCATTCTGATATATTCGTCTTGTCTTCTAAAATATGAGTTCGTCACGGAGAAAGTGTAAATATTGTAGTGATTTATTTTGTTATATTTGCGGTGTTTATATATCAAAAAAACAAAAACGAAATATCACAGACTTTTTCAAGGAGAGTTATGTTGAATATTTCGGTTTTGGAATGGACAAATTAGGTAAACCATGGGTTCCTAATAAAGTTTGTAAATGCTGTGTTGAGTCTTTACGGTTGTAGAAAAAAGGAGAACGTTCTGGATTAGACTTTGGTATTCCTATGATCTGGATGGAGCCTACGAATCATTTTGATGATTGTTACTTTTGTGTAGTAGATGTTAAAGGTTTCAATCGAAATCAAAAGTGGAAATACCCAGACTTACAGTCTACGAAATGTCCGGTTCCACACAGTGAAAATCTCCCTCGGCCTATTTACGTTTCAAAAGTAATTCGCATGCCCTCAGAAACAATGATGTTGCCAAATTCACAGAAATCGGGACCGTCTAGCAGTGGAAGTGAATGGGAGGGTGAAACATCTACGCCAAAGTTATTTTCTCAAAATGAACTTAATGATTTAATACGTGATCTCAATTTATCAAAACAAGGATCAGAACTGTTAGCTTCAAGATTGAAAGAAAAAAATCTATTAGCACCAACCGTAACAATTACAACATACAGAACGCGAGAAAAAGAGTTATTACAGTTTTTTAGTGACGATCAGGGATTGGTGTATTGTAATGATATCGCGAATCTGCTTTTAGACATGGGTTTAAAGGAATACAAATCGACTGAATGGCGCCTTTTCATTGACAGTTGCAAAAGAAGTTTAAAATGTGTCTTATTGCACAATGGAAATAAGTTTGCATCAATTCCAATTGCCCATTCAACGAAACTTAAAGAAGAATATGAAAATGTAAAATTAGTTTTTAGAGAAAATTAAATATTCGGAGCATGAATGGCCGATCTGTGTGGATTTAAAAATGGTTAATTTTTTACTAGGCCAACAGAGTGGATACACAAAATACCCTTGCTTTATTTGTATGTGGGACAGTAGAGCGAAGCAACTTCACTGGGAACAAGATGTTTGGCCTGTAAGAAATTCTTTAACTGTCGGTAAAGCCAATGTAATAAGGGAGCCACTGGTGAGCAGAGACAAAATCATACTTCCACCATTGCATATTAAGTTAGGTATGATAAAGCAGTTTGTAAAAGCTCTAAACAAGGATGGAGATTGTTTTAATTATATTTGCAGAAAATTTCCGAAGCTTAGTATGGAAAAATTGAAAGGTGGAATATTTGATGGTCCTCAAATACGGCAATTAATAAAAGACTCAGATTTTATCAAAGTTATGACTGTTCCGGAAAGTAAAGCTTGGAAAAGTTACGTGTTGGTAGTCGAAAATTTCTTAGGTAACCATAAAGCAACAAATTATGAAGAAATTGTGCAAGATATGCTGACAAACTTTCAGACTTTAGGAGCAAATATGAGTGTTCAAGTTACACTATCTTCGCAATCATCTGGATAAATTTCCAGATAATTTAGGGAATTATAGTGAGGAACAGGGAGAGCGGTTTCACCAAGATCTAAAAGTGATGGAGGAAAGGTATCAGGGTCGATGGGATTGTCACATGATGGCAGATTACTGCTGGTCTTTGAAAAGAGATTGTCCACTGAAAAATTATAAGAGAAAAGCTCATAAAAGGCGTTTTATGGAAATATAAAACATATTTCCGATATTTTCCTCTTTATTTACTTCGATGTATCCTAATTTCTCACAACAGAACTAACATTATAAATATATCTGTTAATTTGTATTTTGTTTTTCTATTTTTGTAATATAAAATGAAAATAAAGATTTAAAAAAAAATGAGAGCAAATCTTACAAAATCATTGATAGTTTCATGAATTGTGTGCATAAATAGACCCAAAATCATTTTCATATCTAGGGCAACAAAACCACTGTAGACCAGTGTTATAGTCCGTTATAAAATCAATTTTAAACTTTTTTGTAGGAGGGAGGGTAGTGACAAAAATCAGAATTTTTTATTTAAAATGGTACTGAACTATTTCGTCTTTGCCTATTTCTAAGTTAATACTTTTTTCAACTGTGCATACAACTACTTAAAAGAAACAACTTTTTCAAATACCTTTTTGATAATAACTCAAAAATTATCTTCATACACATGAGCCATTTTTATTTTTAAACAAACCCATACTAACCGAAATTTATTACGGGATGAACTGACAAATTGAGATATCACTGCTTGACATAAAAAATCTAAACACGAACAAAAAAATTTATCAGATATTGTTCGACTTTTTAAAAGCTTATTTCCCTTATTTTTTGGTTATTTAAAGTTATTTAAAAAAGTTTTTCTTTTAAGTACATAGTTGTACAAGGTCTTTACAAGGTCTTCAACAATACCCGAAATCCACGTGACTAATAACCATCAAAAACCCATCGAAAGGGCCTGATTTGACATAAAAGGAACTAAATTGAACTGTCAGACCTGTCATAAATGTCACTGGTGTGCATTTGGGGAATGACGAATGACGATATTTATATTGTATTTGTTTACATTTACATAAATTCAATTTTTCATTTAATATTAATAAAGCAATCAGTTATTTTTAGAGATTATTGATGGCTTAAGTCTTTTCTGTTGGTAAGTACAAACTTATTTACTGTAACTCCTAAAAGTTAGGTAATGATCGTATATAATTTATTTCAGTTAATGTTTACACACGAACAATTATTCGTAATTGTATTCGAAAATTTGAGGAACGTTTTCCAAGTAAATAAATGGAAGATGATTATTTTTGGTTGTCAGAAACAAATACTTGTTCAAAATTATAAAAAAGGAAAAACTCTAAAAGGCCCATGCACAGTAATAACAAAAGCTGTTGAAGATGTGCAAATTCACAATAAATTAGTAAAAATAGAGCACCTCAAACAGGTAGGAACGGTGTTTCGAAAACTGACTCTGACAAGTGAAATTTAAAAAATTATTTTTAGGTTTGTCGCTACGAACTAGCCATACATTTTTCCATTACGGTCCATTTTAGAAAAATCATGTGTAAAACAAAAATTATAGAAAATGATATCGCAAGTAACTTTTATTTGAAAAATGTTCTTAAAATTTCGAATTTTGTTCCTTTCATCAAATTTCTCGAATACGGACCATTTTAGTAAAATTATGAAAAATACCAAAATCATACAAAATATTATTACAAGCAACTTTTATTGGAATAATTTTTTTTCCAAGCTTAAATAACAGATATATTCCATAGAGCAGATGTTCCGATAATGCGTAAAATCTGATCAGCTCAACGCAGGATGGATTAAAGCTTAAGTTTAAAATTTGATGTTTTTCTTTTTATCCGTTCATGAGTAAAAATCCATCACAATCCGTCAAAATCTGTCAAAATCCCTAAAAATCCGTAAAAATCCGTCCAAGACAAGCTTCTCTTTTTTTATATATAAATGATATAAAAATATAATGTTTATATACTTTCTTGAGATATTTACAAACATAATTATAAACTAAATCGTAACTTTAAAGTCCGATACTGGACTGCAGGGTGCCGTCGAAGATATATAAAATAAAAATATCTTTGAACAAAAATAGTCTGAGCTATGTTTAAAGTCATCTTTGTATTATAAGAATTAGAATTAGATTAAAAAAACTTACCTTTTCCAATTTTCTTATTAGCCCCTTCTATTTTCTTAGTTTCCAATGTATTTTCATTATTTTTATCTTCCAATATATCAAAGGTAAATTTTTCAACTTGTCCAATAGAATTGGCGGATTGTGGTCGTTTATTCGGTAATTTTATTATACTTTTCATCTCTTTTTTGCATAAGTATTTGAGATTATTTTTAAATGTTTTGTCCTTTTCATTGCTATCAGTCTCATTTTTTGATGATCCAGGAGGTACATCTGAATGTATTATATTTACTGAAAAAAAAAAAAAACATGCTGTTATAGTTTTTGTCATAATTTTAAGAATTTTAGGTGACTTTAGAGTCACAAAATTACGGATTTGACATATGTTTTAAATAAAACTACAGATAGGTATTTTTTGATTTTTGGAAAAAAAATTGCGGTTTATAGTCAAGATTCAAAAATATGGCGTTTCCAAGTTGGAACTATTTTTTATTGGGGATGTTGAAAACTACCTATTACTTGATAGAAGCGTAGTAATTTCGATTTGCGGATGCTCTTTTGTGTGTCTGTCAAGAATTTGATTTTATTTATGGCAATTTTATTTGTATTTTTATGTTTTACATAGGATTTAAGTATTTTATGGATTATTTATTATAGACTATTTATGTGGTACAAAATATATAGCGCAAAAGATATATTTACCAATATTTGTGCGCATAATATGTATTTTATGTTGTGTTTATTGCAACAATCAATAGGTACTTAGGCAACTTAGGTTTGTTTGGTCGAAGTAGTGATATTAAAGCCGCGGGTTTCACTGTATTTTTCCTATAAGAAGTAAGGGTTCACCATTTCCGATTGCATTTAAATCCCGCTAAATGTATTAAAATTAATCTTCTACCAGCTTAAAGTATGTAGAATGAAATATGCTATTTTTTATTTGTCCTGCTTATACACTGAATTTAAAAAAAAATCGTAAAAAGTGATTTTAAAACCAGAGCTAAAAAGTATGAGATTTCATTCTACATATTTTTCCAAGTATTCCGCCAAAATATTTCTAAATTATATTAGGTATTTTTCAAAACTGAGTGGAAATACGATTAACAAATATTTGATAAATTTATTTGTCAAATTAGATATTTTTTATGAATACCTGTAATTGTGTAGTTCATCTATTTTTAAGAAGATGTCACCTCATAAAACAATGTAGCCACTCTGTTTTAGAGATGGTTTTAATAAGTGAATGATTATTTAGAGAAGTGGTTCTCAAACTTTTTTGGTGACGGAACCTTTTTGAAAAGTGAAATATTTGACGGAGTCCTAAACTCATTTCAGAAAAAAGTCCTCCTTGTTCTACCCTCTTGCCAGGTCCCTCCCGTTTTTTTGCGGAGCCTCTAAATTTTCTCAAAATCAATATACGCCTTTAAAAGAAAAGAAAAAGGTCTTCCAACCCAAAATACTAAAATCATACAATCCTTCCTCTTCCTGGCTTCTAAAATAAAAAGGTCCCCCAACCCAAACAACTCACAAAATACCAAATTCTCATATACTCCTTCTAACAAAAACAAAAAATTCAAAGGTCCTCAAGCCAAGTCCCGTTGTAGCTTCTTTTTTCTTCTTTTTTATTTTCTTCGTGAAGCGAGCCCCCACAAAGGTTTTGCGGAGCCCCAGGGCTCCGCGGACCACACTTTGAGTAACGCTGGTTTAGAGGTACCAATTTTTGAAACAGTGATACAGCTGCATGCCGTATTTCATTGTTTCGTTATTTTCATATTACCAATATTGTGGAAAAGTTCGATATCTTCCTTGTTGAAAGAGATATTAAAAAAGTGTATTAAGAAAATTATGGACAGGTTTGAGGTTAACATTTTAAAATTATTGGGAGGTGTACATAGTGTTGCATAGCTCGTGTAAGAACCAAACATATGTTTTTTTTAATGATAACCTATTTTAGATTCTGTTTACTCATCTTTTTTCCATTCTTCTAATATATGGTTTGTCTATGTTATATAGGGTACTTTTCAAGGAATTGACATTTTTGTGAGAGAATCGTACATAATTCAACGTCAAGCAGCCAATGACACACTGTAGAAAAAAAATTTTTTACCAACACGAATTTTATAATATGTATTATACTTTTTTTTAGTTATATTTTTATTATCTGTTTATTTGTATACAGGGAGACTCAATACTCAGACCCTTGAGTTTTTTGTTTTATTTAAATGGGACACCCTATATTTTATATCACCAGTAAAATCATCTGTTCCAAGTCTTTCATTTTTATAAAGCATTCCCTATACCTAAAGTTAATAATTATTGATATTTTTAACATTAAATGAAAATTATGGTTATTTCGATAAATTAAACTAGTTTTTCATAAATAATATGTGTGAATACAAAAAAAAAACTCAAAAACAAACAAAACAATTAAAACATAATTATAAAAGTTGTTCAAAGTGACCTCCCATTTTTTTTGCTTGGACTTTTGTCATTCAGCCAGTCACTTAATGAATATAAATAATATAATATAAATATTACAATACAAAATAAATGGTAAACAACAATGGCAACAAAAATAAACCATCGAAACAAAATCAATCTGTCGCAACAAAACTAGATAACATCAATACAGTTTTGTAATCGAATTTCGAATGATTGACTCACATTTCTCAGCATTTGAACATCAATACTTTGAAATACATTTCTGATTCGAGTTTTCATGTCCTCTTTTGTTGTTGCAGGCACATTATATACTTTGTTTTTTATATAACCCCACAGAAAAAAATCAATTTTTGTCAAATCCGGTGATCGCGCTGGCCACCCTATCGGTCCTCCTCTTCCTCTTGCATAAACCATACGCAACTCGCCTTTGGCTCGTTTCATATCCCGGTTAATGCTCGTGTATTAATAACCATCATTACATGATCGTTGAATAATATACTATTATAAATCTTGCAAAAAAAATTAATATCTAATATTTACGCCAGCCGGGAACATTTGTGATACCAATTTATTAGAAGCCAGAGAAAGCTCTTCTAGTTCTTGTATTGCATAAACGTTCCAGTCCGCAGACGTATATTTAACTCCGCTTCATACTAATATGAATAGGGTCGGATAAAACCTTCCAAGGCTTTCAAAACGCCGCTTTGCTGCGCCGGTTGGAGTGGTGGGTGTTAGGTTTATTTTCGTTACGGAATTACGTAGTTTCTTGATTCGGTCGCCACGCACAAAGCCCGCGATAAAAGCTACGCAAAAGCTTAAAAATTCTTGTACAGGTGAATACTACTAAATGAGACCTTTCATTTGAGGTATAACAAAAGGGGTAGTGCCATTTGACATTTTAAAGTTGGGGTGTGTCGCGCCTAAGGGGTGCTTCACCCCTTCATTGAAATATGGTGGGGTCTAGTTCCCCCCCCCCCCCCCTAACTCTATAACATTTGTGCCAAACGCCGTTTCTCCAACTTCTTTGTTTTGCGAGATATTCACATTGAACTTTTTCAAATTGACACCCTGTATATCTTTATTCTAGTTTGTGTCTGTGTAATATTATGTATTGTGATGGGACTGATCTTATAAAATAAACATTTAAAACATTTTAGTTCTTATTTTGCTTGCCAACAAAAGGTTTTTAAAAAATATATTTTTTATTTGACATCTGTGACAAATTGTGAAAATGATTAAACTTACAATAAAAACTAAAAAATGGTAGGTAAAGTTTCATATAAAATTTTTTACACAAGAAACAATGTCAAGCTTTCTACATGACCTGATATATATTTAAAAATAATCTCAAATTATAAAGAAAAATCAGTTTACTAACTAATAATGTTTATAGATGGTTTTTAACGTATTAAAAACAAAACAAATATTATAATAACTAAAATATTCATTTATTAATAGTTGTAGTGCTTGAAAACAGTATGATGTTGATAATAATAACAACTACACTTAATACAAACTCAAATAATAAAAAAAACAGCGATACTGACTCTTGTACAAAGTTTAAAATTATTGGAAAAAGTGAACACCCATTTCAAATTACCAGAAGCCGCCACTGAAGAAAACAACATTATGGCTGAGGGAGAAACAATGGAAAAAGAGATAGAAGAGATAATGGAGCTGGAAAATGAAAGTGAAAAGAATATAGTAGAGCATCATTTTTTTGGTTTCTTTTATTTTCGATGTTTTTTTAATAAAACACATATATGTAACACACCATTTTTCGTGATAAAATTATTGGAAAAAGGGTACACCCATTTTAAATAACAACAAGCCGCCACTGCTTAAAATATTGTATTAGGTAAATATTCTAAGACGAATAAAACTTTAAAAGGTGAGGAAAATGTTGACAAGGCCATGTAAATCCTTGAACTGTATTATACAAATTATACAAATTATTTCTAGATGGTAAGTAATTTTCTATATTTTCAAAAAAATAAATAATCCAACTGATAGACTTCCAAATAATGATTTGATATCATATTTCAAATGAATAAAAATATTGCTGTTACTTAAAAAGGAAATTGCAGTAGAAATGTGTTCACAAATGTTACAGCTTGAATTATGCTACCAAATTCTTCATTTCACTCATGATTCGTTTACACAGGAAGACTAGACACAAATACACAATGTTTTTATCCAAAAATGCACCTAACGCAAAGCGCCATGACCGGTCTTGATTATCCTGATGTCACCAGGTATCGGTAACTGGCAGGGCTGCCGCGGAGATATTTAGAAATGTACTAGAAAAGTCGAGTACTAAATTTTAGATGGAATGTCAATTGTAAAAACTGTCACGTATGTTGACAGTTGTTATGTCAAATTTCAACTGTAGGATGGATGCGAATTGTTTGTTTTTGTTGCTTATGTACTTTAAAAAATTGTAATTGGAATATACCACTGGAATATATCAAAACGTTAATATGAATATAGAGTTTTGTTTTAAATTTTATTATTTTAATCAAGTTTAAAGGCAAGTTTTTATCTGTTAATCAAGGTAGGTAAAAATAAACTGTACGATCACAAACCAGTAACTGACACCAGAATTCTGCGCAATAGATAATTTGCGCAGAATCCTGGAGTCGGTGACTGGTTTCTGATCGTTATAGGTATATACCTTATGTAAAAAACCTTTTCTTTAAAGAAAATACTGCCAATTTTTACAATACTTACCCTAGTATCGGAAAATTTAGGCGTTCGAAACATTGATTCTGCCAGAAAGACGATCAGTATTCCAAATTACACTAAATTGTCCCTGATTTGACCTAAAATTTACTTTTGTACTTTGCTGT